GTAGAAGTCACTAAAGCCATGAACTGGCAGCAACAGCAAATGGTCATTTTGCTCAACGGCTAGAGGCTGAATGTGGACCAGCCTAAGAGTAGAACTGCTGGGGACTACATTCTGAGGGGCCCGCATACTACTTCTGGCTCTTGCAGGTAAGAGAGAAGAGCACTGTTGTGAAATATGCCCAGAGCCTTCTCTGTAACAAAGATCTACTCTCCAGGGAAAAAGACTGTCTAAGCCTTACCCAGCTTGGGGAAGAGTATCCCTCCCACTTCCTGTCTTATCTAAGGAGAAAATAACGGGGGCACCTGAGTGGCTCAGTAGGTTAAGCGTCTAACTCTTGATCTCAGCTAGGGTCATGATCTCCCAATTTGTGAGTTCGAGCCCCACATGGGGGCTCTCTGCTATCAGCACAAGGCCCGCTTCGGATCCCCTGTCCCCCTCTCTCTCTGCCTCTCCCTTGGTCGTGCTCTCTCTCAAAAACAAATACATAAACATTTAAAAAATAAGGAGAAAATAACATAGTCTAGAGGGGTCAGAGCTTCGGTGAAATAAATTGGGAATGCTGTAACCAGAGAAGGAACAAACACACCTCCTACACTCCAGCAGTTCCCTGCTACTATCTACTATCGACTACACCGGCTTGAGTGGTCTGACAGAAGAGAAAACAGATTATGAATAATCTACTTTACAAGCACCAAGTAATCACCAGTAAAGAACTCACTATTTCCCTAAGCAATTATAACTGTGTCATTAATTTTTCTCTAAGTACATTCAACCATTCCTCTATTTTGTTAATTTACCTTGACTTGCATAGAATGGTAAAACATATAATCTGCTCATGGATAATCAAGAGTTGCTTGTGGTAACTCCACTGCCATTACTTCTAGTCTCATAAAAAGAACCCACCTCACACTTCCATATGCTATTTGAGATCATTTCATAAACTCTATAATCAACCCTAGAGCTTCAGGTGTGTAGTAAGTACAGTGACGTGCCTTGATATGTGTATTCATTGGATTTGCATTTCTATTCATATCTTCACTATATCCAAACTGCACCTGCAGATTCCCTGTATCAGCATCCATCTGAAATGCACACAGTTTAGTTTCTACTTTAATGCAGAGCTTCTAAATTTGAGCAGATGCTTAAAATACATATTGCAACCAGTGTAGTGGCACACAAGACCTTGTCGATTGCCCTTCGTCTTGATCTTGTACAAAGTTAAAGCTCCACTCCAGGACAGGGCACTTATTTGACTGACTGAGGATGACTGGTCCCCTACCCCCAATTCCCTCTCCCCAATGAGCAAAATTTCCTATAACTGCTGTAATTCCAAGAATGACCTGGAGCGGACTCATTAGCAGATTTACCAGGAAGCAGATGACGCTTAAGCTTCTGAGCTTTCTTCCAAAGCCCTGGGAGGTGCCCTAAAGGTTGGTACTTGTGATTTTATATTCTTTTCCTTGAGATAAATTGTATAAGTGTTAGGCCCCCAAATTCTAGATCCTGCCATAAGTGGGCCCAATGTAACTTGGCTGCCAATCAGAAGGCAAGAGCTAAATAAGCTGTTAAGTCTTCATAATATGAAGTTAACAAGGATTGATTTAGGGTTGCAATCACGCCCACAGAATGGGCCATTCATCTCCAATGAGGAACCTCCAATAGAAGCAAAGAGGGTATGACACGGAAGGAGAGACTTATCTATCTTTGGAGAGGGTAGGGCTCTAGGTACTAAAATAAAGCAGCGGGTAAAATCCATGCTTTTCCCATTGTATGTGGAAATTAGGCAGGCTCAGACCCCAGGGAGTGGATCCCAGACCATCTTCCACAAATAAAATTATCTTTCTCTGCCTTTAGGGCCAAGCATGTGCAGCTTGTCTGGTGTCTTTACAAAGAAAAATTTCTGTCCACTTTCTTGCTAAATTTGAAATTTCTTTTAATGAAGTAGCAAAACCTTCCAAGCAATAATTAAAGAGAAACAGCTTAATCTGCAAATGCCTGGAGTGAATATTTGAAAACATAATCATTAATTGGCAGGTCTAACCCAGAGTTGGGGGTAGGGATGGGGGTGTGAACGTGGGAGAGGATTAAAGAAGGAGGGAGCCTGAAGACAGCCTGAAACATGGAAACCCAATCTGCAGACCACATGGCCTAACTGGGCGGAACCTTGTTTCCTACCATGGGCTGGGACACAGCAGACCTGCACCATCAGGTGGGCCCACATTATAGTATACAAGCAGACAGGAGCCTGTAAAGGCTGATGCAAGCACAGTGTTCACTTACTTACACAACCTCTCCTTCTGCTTGCCTTGGTGACTCCTTAGGTTCTAGAGTGAATCTGGGATGGCGATTCCTGAATCAGAGGGTGGGCACAAAGTCTGGTTTGGGAGTTAACCACTATCTAGCACTCCCTTCCCGTGAACACCTGAACATCTGGGTCTAGCCCTTCACAGGGCAGTTAATACTCTCCCTGGCTTGTCAGTAAGTCTAGATCTTTGCCTTCACACCTCCCTGTTTCTGCTCCCAGTCCACCTTCCCCAGCCACCTGTGCAACCAGCCCTTCTGTCGAGTTCTCCAGGAATCCCCTACGGGGATCCATGGAATGGCTGAGCCCCAGGAATATACTGGCCTCCATTCCAGAAGAAACCCCCTTTCTTCTTCACCATTAGCCATTGCAACTGACCCATGTGCAACGTGCTACCCTTACAGTAGGGCCACAGACAGTGCCAAATCCAATCTTTAATTCCTTTACTTCTAAAATTGAATTATGGGGCACCATCACATTACAGGCAACATCAGCAGCACCATAATAAAAAAAGCAGTTTGCTCACTCAGGGTCAGGCTACCCTGCCCTTAGCCACACTGGCTGTGGTCAGTCACCATCCATCCCTCCTCAGCTGGCTCACTGAAGACAGTTTTCTTCCTAAAGCTATTTCAGTTCCAGGGGAGAAGTAAGAAGAAGGGCAGCAGAAACAGCAGTGTTCAAATGGCGAGGAAGACTTTGTTGTTTTGGTTACTTTACACTCTGGCCCATTATGCACAGACAAGTCAAAGTCAGAAAGCCATTCTTGAAAGCTCATTAGAACTTTTGCTGCAATACCAGGTGAAAAAGAAAAACCTTCCCCTACCCAGCCTCCAGCAAATGCGGAAATAGGGTCATTGTAAATTAACATAAAAACTATTTTCCTTCATGAACCATATTTAAATTATGAAACCTATGAGAAGGCTCTTTCCAAAGATAGACTAGCTTGTGATAATGAAAGACAGAAGAGAAGGTCTCAACGAATCACAGTTGATAAGCAATTCTGCTGAGAGCATAATGAAGATTCCTTTATAACTTCACCAAAAAATGTTCATTATTACAGAATGGAGTCAACAACAGAAGTCAACTGGATTGACAAGACATCAGTGCTATTACCATTACAGGCTGTCTCGTGTTATGTTGATGGGACTTTTGGGAGAAAGTTTTGAGAACAGAGCAAAAAACACCCTAATTTTCCATACCACATCAAATGCAGCATGTGTGGCAAAATATTGGAGGCAGAATGTGGTTAATCTGCAAAGATTTCTATTATATATATATATAATGTATTATATATATATATAAAATGTATTATATATATATATAATGTATTATATATAATGTATTATATATAATGTATTATATATATGTGTATATATATATAT